ATATACCCAAGACACCTGTAATGTACAAGAACTAAAGGCCTATGCTTTCTGGGTTATTGGTTAAAAAGAATCCCAAATGACTGGAGTGTGTGTTAGTGAGTGTGTACACATGCTTAAAAGTCATCTTGTGTGGAATCCCTCCTCATTCCTTCACAATAACAGATGAAGGAAAGGCCTTTGTGAACTAAAGTAGAACTCATGTCTATTGCCTATGAAAACCTTAAGCTTCAAGGAAACTTAAAGAAAGGGTGAGGATGTGAGCCAAAGGGGTAGTTTTCTCATATGGCTCAAACAGAGGAAATTAACTGTGATTTATTCTCACTTTCCTATAAATATATTAACTCCCCCAGTCAAAAAATAAAATAATAAAACAAACAACAAAAAAGAATTAAAAAAACCAAAAAACAAAAAAAAGAAAAAGAAATAAATAAAATAAAAAACAAACAAAAAGAAGTATGGGAGGACGAAGGCAGGCTGAGTAAGGAAGAATGACTAGCTGACAGTTTCAAGCACCTGTTCAAATGTAACTGAAATCCTAAGAGTAACTTTCTTGGCTTTGCTGGGTGTAAATCACTAGGCCTAGTCAGCCAATGGACAACTCCCAGAAAACTTGGGTCAGGGTGCTACAAAGCTCTGAAATTAAAGCAGTCAGTATAATAGCTAAATAAACACTTTTGTTTTCAAAATAAATATTTTAAAAATGGCTTCTACCCAAGAGCCACTCCCATGCAAAAGTACACTTGGAGTGCTCCTGTACCCTCATTTGTAGATTCATAACATGTTAGAACTGCTCCCTCCCCAAAATAAACTTCTCGAAATATCCAGCTAAGTTGGGTTTTTTAAAAACGGTTTCTATGTTAATAGGCACAGAAGCACTTTCATTTCACATGAATCTTTATATGGAAGTACATTGGGTAGAAGAGAAAAACCGCAGGTCTCCCTTGCTTACAGCGGGTCTGGCAGAGCAGACCTCCCTCTCACCTCCATCTCCCTGGAGCTGAAAGGATTGCACCAAAGCACGTGTGAACTCTGAGGACAGAAGTTTGAAAACCATGGACTACAGTCCCATTCCTTCACTTTATAAATACATAAACTAAGGCTTAGAAGAGGTGAATTTAGAGGTAGTGCTTAGACTGGAGTCTAAGTCACTTAATTTTCAATCCAAAACCTATTTTACTAAAACAAAATAAAGTGGTTACTTATTTAAGTGTAGTCATGAGGGTTTTTAATCTACAACGTCGAATGTTCTGAGACAGTTAAAGGTTGTAGGTTTCAGGATGAGTAATAAGTAGACAGTAGACCTGCTATTTTCCACCCAAGGGCTTTATTTCACCTGTGGTAGCCACTACCAGGCTAGTGTGGCCACCTGTTACAGGTAGGAAAGATCTAGTCATCCAATTTCTGAGTTAAACCCATATACAACTTAAACACAGGTTATTCTTAAAATCCTCGCTGTTGAGTATTTTTTTAGTTAGGTAACTAATAAAAAAA